TTGTTGAAGGCGATAAGTTGGCCTAAATATACATAGGAATTTACATAATCTATTTCCTCCTCATCTACTGAGATACTTATTTGGGATCTGTTTGTTATTATCTTTGTCTTTGTTTTGTTTATTGTTAGTCCCACCTTTTTACTTTCACATGATAAATCTTGGAGCATGTTTTTAAGGCTTTCCGAGTTATCTGTTATAAGTATTATGTCATCTGCAAATCTTAAATGATTTAAATGTGTTCCATTTATGTTAATCCCTATGTTGTCCCATTCCATTTTCCTGATGACTTCCTCTAGTACGGATGAAAAAAGTTTTGGTGAGAGTGGGTCTCCCTGCCTCACTCCCCTGTGTATTGGAAATATTTCCCCTTCTGCTTCTAGTTTGATTCGTGCTTTGCTGTTGGAATACACATTTTTTATTATCCTTATATATTTATTTTCTATTCCTTGATTTTTCAGGGCTTCCCAAATGTACTGATGTTCCAGGCTGTCAAACGCTTTGTTATAGTCCACAAATGCCATGTATAATGGATAATCGTATTCTTGACATTTTTCAATGAGCTGTTTTACCACATGTATGTGGTCAATTGTTGCAAAGCCCGATCGGAATCCAGCCTGTTCTCTTGATTGTTGTTCTTCAAGTTTTTTGCTAATGCGCTTCAGTATTATTTTTGAGAACACCTTGTATATGTTGGACATGAGACTTATTGGGCGATAGTTTCCTATGTCTGATCTATCTCCTTTCTTAAAAATGAGTATTATAGTGCTTATTGTCCACTGTGAAGGTATGGATTCTGTGTTTAGGATAAGATTAAACAAGTTAGTTAGTTTTTTTGTTGTTTCTGGCAATGTAGCTTTCATCATCTCATTGGTTATATGATCAGGTCCAGGAGCTTTATCGTTTTTTTGTGTTTCTATCGCATGCTGAACTTCCCTTTCAAGAATCGGAGGGATTTCTTCTGTTTTGTCTTCAAGGTTTATGTTTAATTTTAAGGTATTTTCGGTAGAGTATAATTTCCGATAATAGTCTGTCGCTATCTTTAAAATTGGCTGTCTTCTTGTTTCGTCCTTATTATTTTTGCTTTTCATTTTCGGGACCCATAGCGTTGTTTCTTTTAATTCTTTAAGTGCTTTATTGATACCTCCTGTTTTTGTAATGTGTTTTTGGATACATTTCATTCTTTTATTCGACTTATCTTGTTTTATGTTGCGACTTATCTCCTTACTTAGTTCAGTAATTTCATGTAATGTTGCTTTATTTCTTCTATTTTTAAGCAGTTCTTTCCGTTTTTGAATGAGATCTATTGTTTTCGAGCTCAGTGTATTTTTGTTTTTTACTAAATTGTTCTTCTTTTTATAAATATCGTTTGTTTCTATGTTGTAAATTTCTTGTGTTTTGTCTATTTCTCCGGTTGTTACTTTGCTTTGAGACGTTGTATCAGTCTTGCAGGTATTTTCACTCTGGTGAAAGTGTTTTCGTTGTTTCTTTTGTTGTTTGTGAAATAGTACTGCTCTGACCATACGATGGTTGCTATTGAAATTGAAATTATTTATTACACTAACATCTCGGAAAAACTTGGGTTGATTACTAGTTATAAAGTCAATTTCATTTCGGTAATTTCCATCTGGCGATATCCAAGTCCACTTCTTGGTTTTTCTTTTCTTGAAAACGCTATTTAGTATGGTTAAGTTATTCTCCAGGGCCAAATTTACAATTCTCTTGCCGTTCTTGCTTCTTTTTCCTATGCCATAATTTCCTATTACTGTCTCTTCACCATGTTTTTGTTTACCTATTTTCCCATTAAAGTCTCCCATGACGATAACGTTTTTATGGGCAGTTTCTAGAGTAGTTGTAAGTTGGTTGTAGAAATCATCTTTTATTTTTTCGTCTGCTGCTTCTGTTGGCGCGTATATCTGTACTATAGTCCACTTGTTTTTATAGCCTTGTAGCTGTATATTTAGTAAAGCTATTCTTTCGGATATGCCTTTGAACTCTATGATTTGTTTCTTTAGATGTTTTTTCACCATAAATCCCACTCCATACTGACCCTTGGTTTCACCGATATAGTACAGAATGTAGTCGTCATACTCTTCAATGCAGTTTCCTATTCGTCTTACTTCACTCATACCAAGAATATCCCATTCAATATTACCCAAAGTTATCTCTAATTCGAGAAGTTTTTCTGCAGTCCTCAATGAAAGTGTGTTTAGGGTGGCTATGTGTATATTGTTATTGTTAGGTTTCTCTTTTTCTTTATCTTTAGGTGTTTCTAAAGTTCCGTCTAAAGATAAAGAAAAAGACGGCACCTTTAACAAACATTTATTTACTATAGGTGTTACAGATAGTCCCCTGTGCAGGGCATGTATGGGGGAGGAAGAAACAGCGGCCCACGTGCTACTGAAATGTCCGGAGGTCGCTACGTACAGGGCTAAACATCTCGGCACGCCGGGATCACTCCCCCGAAGTTGCATGCAACATCAAGGGACTGTTGAGCTTCTTCGGGGGAGATCTCATGGCTCGAATATGCACATTATTCCTGCCCACACGCAAAATACGCGCTTAGACGTGGAGTTGCGGAAAACAGCCCGTCGCACAACTAACTAACTAACTAGAGTAAAGTGCCTTCTTTGCAACGATGTACATTGCTATGAGACTAAGGCCGGTTTTAGAGCTCGACTGACCGTTGGTGCGTACCATCGGTCCTGACCATACACATAACCGATCGTCAGTTTATAGCGTTCAGAGCTCTCCTGAGCAACGAAACTGGCCGGATTGGTACAGTCACAAACACGTACACGAAATGGACGCGTTTACAAATTGACTCCCCTGAGAAATTAATGCGTTACATTTTTTTCCGTCTGATCGTACAGATTTTTTTCTTTCGTTTCGTAATCGAAGTGGTCTATTTCTACGAATCGCTCTCGATTCTGTAAATATGATTTAAAACCATTCGTATGCTTTACCATGTATTCCTATATCACAGTTTGTTAAAAAGAATTTTGAACCTTATCGTAAGCCTTTGACATGTCTAATAGTACACCAATTGCGTATTTTTTATTATTAATTCCTCAATATATTTGTAAACCGCTAATGTTGTTGATTGTTTTTTACGAAATCCATTTTGACAATTATCAAAAATATTATACTTTTTTTTTTAAACGTTACCCCTACACTAGGATTTTCTCCTGTATCGTGGGGGCAGTTTACAAACATAAATTGCACAAGGACTAACATCCAGACCCGGAACAATTATTTGTAGGCCATACAAATACTTGTTCCGTGCGGGATTCGAACCCGCGACCCCCAGCGCAGCCACTCATTGCTAAGCCACTACGCCACGGAGTCGTCACTTTTCATTCTGTTCTACATATGCCATTAAGCAGGCGTTCAATATAAGCTCCATAATCCTGCAGAGTATGGAGGTAATTGAGATTTGCCGATTGCCGAATTGAATTGGCAGGGTCGGCACGGCTGTCTTTTTTTGGAACAGGCTGCATGTTGGCCAGCTTTCAGGATTTTGGCACTATTCCAGTCCTAAATGGGAGGCGGAACAGGTGTGTCAACACAGGAGACAACTCAGGTGCACAAGCCTTTAGAACTATAGCTGGTATACCATCTAGTCCATTAGCTTTGTTGACGTCTAGACACCGCAAAGTTTTAAGAACCTCCTTATTTGTGATACGAACCCCCGACATAGAAGTCCCGCAGTGAGATAATTTAGATGGAATGTTGTTGCCATTGTTCAGAAGCGAATTGTAGGCAAAAAGAGACGCGAACAAGTCTGCTTTCTCTTAAGCCGTATGCGCCTGTGTTCCATCCGGTTTTACTAGCGGAGGCAGTGTAGACAGGCAGAAGTTTGTATAGGTAGCCCGACAGAAGTTTGTCTCGACCGCTTTGGCGGCCTGGTTTAAAGTTCTCTTCTCGGAACTGATATCAGGAGCTTTGCGGTTTCGAGCGTCAACTCAGAATAAGTACGCTAAATGCTTGCGTTTTTCAGCATGGGCGCATTCACCGTTAAGCCATAGGGGAGCTTTGCTACCAGTGAGAACGTCAGATAAGGGGATAAAATACTCCATAGCTTGACGCAACACATCGGTTATCGAATCCGCGCAACTCCACGGATCCGCAGAAGAGAAAGACCTCCCGCCGAGGATAGAATGCAAATAAAGTGTCGTATCTCATCCCACTCAGCTGACTTATACCGCCATATTCGTCGAATATCTTGGGACTCGTAATCAGGTGGGGAATATTACGATACAGATTTCACCAGACAGTGGTCAGATTAAGGGGAGGTAACCTGTACTTCATACCTGTCTGGTTTGGAAGTCAGCAGAAGGTCTAGGCAATGGGCAATGTTTCCCTCACATCATGGTTGGACTTTTGGTAAGGGAACAGCCAGTCTTGGTGACAGGTGTAACAGGTGTTAAAGTCCCATAAAGTAAAGGGCAGTAGGATACCGATTTAGGGTCACATCAGCAACCTCACTAAGGTGATCAAATAATTGTGATGTCTCCTGGTCACCACTGTGCGATCGATACACAGGCATAAAGGACTGTTCATCTGCCCTTTCTTATATAGGATAGGGTGACAAAAGAGCACACAGTTCACCTGATGGTAAGTATTTACTGCGGCCTATAGACATCTACATCTATCCTCGATTACAAATCAAAATGCAGATGCGTTGTCACCCGTGAGGACTAAGATGGAATGCCTCGTTTCCAATAAAAAGGGTCTCCGGTTCTCTACATTCACCATACGAAACACAGCAGCATTAAGCTACTATTTCACGCTGGTATTCTGTGAGAGCGTGGTCCTTCCCCAGTTGTGCCGACCCATGACATATGCTGGATATATAACTGCAGCATGGCTCTACCACTCTGAAGACTCTCTGCCCTTCTTTAATAAAAAAAGTAGACTAGTTGACTCCCATTAGTGTCAATATTACTTTAATTAATTTTTATATACTTAAAGAAATCAAGATTAATTTTAAAATACATTACCCTCCTGTGCAACATCAACCGTGGCGCTAAGTACTGGAGTTTCAGCGCATATGTACGTGTGAGTGTTCCACTGTATATGCTCCAACTTCAGCGTCAATCGCAACCTTTGACGCATAAGCCTAAACCGCCAGGTGCACAAGTCAGAATACTCCCACTCGCACTCGCAGCTTCTGTAAAATTAAAATCAATTGAAAATTTCAATATAAATTGATTTTTTTCTCAAATATTTGTATACATAATATTTTTTGAGTCATTTTAAGTTTTATTTACCACTAGTTTAAAAAATACCTCAGTCCTGAGAAGCACCAGCCACAAACAGAATAGTATTTAAAAAGATTTTACAAGCATGTATTGTACAATTGAGTATAAAAATTAAATAAATATTCCTAGCTTGTGTCTGTCCCAGTATGCATCACTTCTTTATGTACCATACATTACATTTTTGTATATATCTTGTCTTGTCTAAAAACTAAAAAAAAGCCTAACCAATCCAAAAATTTTCTAGCCTCCTTTGGTATTTAATCATAAAGTGCTCTTATGGCCATCTTCTGCAATTACATTTGAAGCACTTTAATCAAAATGTTAAAAAAGTTGGTATAAGTTGCTTAAGATGTTTAATTTTGCAGTAATGTCAAGTCCACCAACATGCATTGGATTGGAGCAGCATGAGGGACTATTATTTCAAAATCCCTCTCATAATTTTACATGTGGTAGAGCCATGCTGCAGTTATATTATAGTTGTAGCACGAATAGGTTGCCTCGACTGTGGTAGGACCACACTTTCTCAGAACACCAACGTAAAATAGCAGCTTAATGCTGCTCGGTTTCATATAGTGAATGTAGACCTTTTTATTGAAAACGAGGACTTCCAGTCTCAGTACTCAGTGTTGATATGCTCATCTGCATTTTGATTCTTAATTGAGGATAAATGTATATGTCTATGGTGCCACAGCATCCACTTACCATCAGTGGACTGTGTGCTCCTTTTCCAATCTTATTCTTTAAAAAAAAATCTTACATCCCCAGAGGTGACAATACATCCCTAACATTTTCTAGACACTGCCAGTATCAAACATTACACTTATACAATATAGAAAGCTTTCGTCTGCTTGTAGGGTTTTAATAAACAAATAATGTTCATTCATTTCATACGCAACCATTTTGGTAGATGTCTAGTAAATTCATTAAAATAGCTACCTATAAGTAACAAATAGCAAACTCTTACTACTTCGCACAGACTACCACACGTTTTTTAGAGATATACAGATTTCACCACTCTGTCCTGATGCGTGCTGGCGCGCTTTACATGACTAGGCTGATTTAGAAACCATTTTTGCTTTGCAGAAGAGGGCCATTAGAGCTGTAGCGGCGCTGTCGTCGCACCGCAAGCGAAACATACCGAAGCCTAAATCACGCTATCAGAATTCCTAATCATAAACAGTATATATAGAACATCTCCGAACTATCACACGGAGCGTTGGCCGCTCCCCGGGCAGAACACCAGAACACCTTGCCCGGCGTGAGATCTCTCCTTTTCCTTCCACGGCCACAGAGCTATTTACAACCTTAAACCGAGAGTCTCTTAGAGAAAAATTTAAAGAAATAAATATATTAACTTTGGCCTCTCAGTATATCTAAGAAAATTTGATGTATGTTCAAAAAAATAAAGGTAGTTTTAGTAAAAAAAGTGACATACACTCTGTAAACACTAGAAACAAACAAGCTGGTGCTACCAGTTTCTCGACTCCACAGTCAGTAATTCATTCTTGGGGCAATGTATACGCTATTACAACAAAGTCCCAGAAAACATACAAGGTCTCTCTATTAACAAGTTTAAATATTTAATTAAACAAAAACTGTATAAAAATGGTTATTATGATATAAACGAATACATGGTTGATAATAACCCCTGGGAATGAGGTGGCCCCTTCTAAGCCGTTTCTAAAATAAATTTCGTAAATATTTTGTGACCCTTGACATTGTAAATTTTTTTATTTTTTTATTTATTTAAAAGGACAACCAACAAGACGAACACTAATACATGGATTTTAAGGTAACATGAATATCAAACTAAAGCTAAGCGTCATCTTAATTATAGGCTGCCACGGCATGCAAATGTGGACTATGCAAATAAAACTTAAATAGGTTAGTTAACACTAAGCAAATGACAACTTAAACATTTTAATCATCATTTAACAATCATTATTTTTATATGTTAAAAAATCAAACAATAGATATAGATACTTGAATCAAACAGACACCATTGACTTGAGAAACTGACCGAGCTTGCGTCTAAATTTCAACGGCTTGTCAGAAAAGATGTCGATGTTGTAAGACTTAGATATTAAGTTGTACTGTCTCTGTAAGCGATTCATGGTGGCATGGTGACCTAAGCTACTTTTGGCACCTTTTGGTGAGAATGGAACGTAACGTACTCGACGCGGCAACTTGTATGGGATATTAAAATTGACATCGCAATAACGCAGGGCAGTCAATGAGGCCATTGATAATCTTATAAAAAACAATTGATCTAAAAACAATCTTCGCCCTTGTAGACTAGTCATTTTAAAATAGGCAAGACGTTCCTTATATGAGGGCAGCAGTTTCGCTTTGTTAGATTGGTAGGATAGGTGCCAGAGAAATCTCTTCTGTATTCGCTCGATTCGCCTGATATGAACCTCATAATGTGGGGACCAAACCTGACTACAATATTCCAAACCCGAACGAACCAATGCCAAATACAGGAGAACTTTTGTTGAGGGCTTTTTGAATTCCATTGCATTCCGCAGCACAAACCCTAGCATCTGGAAACCTTTTGTTGCGACCTGGTCAATGTGCTTGTGAAACCGTAATTTTTTATCCATAATGACGCCCAAATCGCGAATAGAGTCCACCTCTTGCAATTTTTGACCGGCAATATTGTAGGACGGCGACAAATTCGTTTTGCATCTCGAAAATCTGATAAATTTACATTTTTCAGTATTTAAATATAACCTGTTCTCCCTACACCATCCAGCGAGTCGATCTAGATCCTCCTGTAATAGCAATGAATCATTAATACCTCTGATCTGCATAGACAGTTTCATATCATCAGCGTAAAGGAAACAAGCAGCATGATCAAAGATACCCACGATATCATTAATAAATATATTAAAGAGGATTGGACCCAGATGCGAACCTTGTGGAACGCCGGAAGTTGGCTGAAAGGAATGCGATGCGTAGCCATTAACCACAACGTGCGACTTGCGTTGATAAAGATAGGATTCAAACCATTTCAGAAGGCTGCCATACACACCCAAACGAGAAAGTTTACCCAGTAAAATTTTGTGATCAACTGAATCGAAAGCCTTACTAAAGTCGGTGTATATGGTGTCTACAGTAATACGGGAATCAAGGGAGCTAGAAACAAAATCCACAAACGGGATCAAATTAGTTACCGTTGAGCGAGATGCCAAAAATCCTGATTGGCAAGGAGAAATTAAATGCTTTATGTGATAGGACAAGACCGGGCAAACCAACGATTCAAATGCCTTCCCAAAGACTGAGAGTATCGAAATGAAAGAAGAGAGATTCACAGCATTGAACTACAAACAACGAGGGTATTCCATCTGGTCCAGCTCCCTTATTCCTATCTAGTCCTTTCAGAGTTTTCAGAACATCCTCCCGCCTAAGGGTGAGACTTCCAAGGAAGCAAGAGACTGAGTATTCTAGATCAGGTACATTGCAGAGAGGCAAGCTTGGCCGGTAAACCGAGGCAAAATAGGAGGCAAAGAGATTACAAATACCAGTTCCAGAAGTTTCTTCCTTATCATCGAAAGTCATTGCAGATGGATACGCATTGCTATTGACTTTTTTACTCTTGAGAAAGGTCCAAAACTTTTTTGGATTTACTGATAGGGACTTTTCGAGATCAGTTATATATTTAAGATAACAAGATTCTGTTAAATCAGAGCACCGTTTTTTAATTTTTTGGAATGCCAGTTCGTCGAGTGGGTTATTGTACTTTTTGTATTTTATCCTGAGCTTATACTTCTCACGTGAGAGGCGAATAAGATCCCTGGTATACCACGGGGGAAACTTTTTTGATGCTGGTTTGCTTTTAGGAACATATTTTAAGATAGAACTTCTCAGTATTGAGTAAAATTTGTTAGTCATTTCATCCACTGAGGAGCACGAAGCCAGGTCACTCTCCCATGGTATCGAGCTTAAATAATTAGATATTTTTTCAAAATCAGCTTTATAGAAGTTATGCCTCTCATTATAATTACGGGAAAGAAGTTTAGCTGAATACCTGGAAGGCAGCGTAAATACCAGCGGTGGGTGATAATCATCTACAGAACTGAGCTCAGAGTTACTTCGTGTCACTTTCAACTGAATACTAAGATTAGAGAGAACGAGGTCTAAAATTTTGCCTTTATGGTTTAGGACCGTATTATATTGGGTAAGATTATTTAAAGCCATGAAGTCCAGTAAAGTGCTTTCAAATGAAGTCTTAGTCATATTATTGCCATTTACAGCAAACGGTACCTCCGTATCGTTCCAGGCAATACCACTCAGATTAAAATCTCCCAAAATTACCGCTTTTGCGTTAGACTCTAAGACTCTATTAGCGTTGTCGATATAATGTTCCAGAAAATGTTTTTGAATGGGCGACGGGAGGTAGACGCCACACAATAAAAGCTTATTTGGGGTACCTTTTTCCGTAGGTATATTCAATTCGATCCAAATATCCTCGCATTTACTCTCAAAATGGTGTAGCCTACGGGAATAAATATGCTTTGACACAGCCACCAATACCCCGCCACCAGATTTGTCCTGATGAAAGCCACTAGTCTCGCGGTCGCGTCTATAAACTGCGTAACGATCACTAAACAACTCGGAGTCAAAAATAGTGCTATTTAACCAAGTCTCACATAACACTACTATATCATAATCGTATTTTAATATGTTTTTGTACAAGTTTGTCGTCTTCGTTCGAAGACCCCTAACGTTTTGAAAATATACATTTAAACTATTGAACTTTAAGCCATATACTATTACACTATAGAATTACAAAATAACAAAAAGAACCTAAGATAAATTGTCCAGGGTCGATTTATTACGCACTAAGACGTATTCAGATGTATCGGTTTTCCGCATGTATATACGGCCGCCCCGGACCCATACATGTTTGTATTGAAGTTCTTTTGCACGTTTACGGGACAAAGCGTGAAGAAGCTTATTCTCAGGTGAAAGATTTTCTACTACATATATGGGAGTCTTCCTGTTAGGCCTCAATCCCACATGCTCCGTGTACAATTTTTCCTGTGAGTGAGTTTTATTGTATTTCAAAGCAGCGGCTAGCAGGGAGTCCCTGGAGCGAGGGCTGTTAAGTTTAACTAGAATAGAGCGAGGACGGGTACTCTCGGGGTTCTTCTTAGCAATGCGTGAACAATATAAGATATCCGACTCGTTTATAGGGCAACATATGGTTTTGCTCAATTTTGTTACAATAGATAAAACGTTTTCAGACTTACGCTCAGGAACACATTGGATTTCCAGGTTCGATGCCCGAGAGATTTGCTCCATTTGATTAAGACGGCTAGTAATGATGATAAGATCACTCTGTAGGGTTTCCTTTTCCTTAATAATTGTGTCAATTTTAGTCTTACAGCCACTCAGGTCCTTATTACATTGCTCAAACGAATCACTCATGAATTGTATTGATTCCGCGAGACCAGTGATCTCTCCCCTAAAAGCCTGTAGTTGTCTATTCAGGTCAGCTTTCAAATCTCTCACGCATTCTTCCATGATGACCCTCATCTCCTCCTGTATAATAACACGCAACTCCGACCGTGATACATTAAAACTCGTACCGGCGTCTGACTCAAGGAGTGAATCCGGGCCTTTACGGCGCAAGGTAACGTTAGCTTTGGGGTTACTGGGCGTCGATGGCCGGACCGGTGTATTAGAGTTATCGCTGCGCGGCTTTTTATTCTTACATTCAGGGCACAGCCAATCTGCCTTAACTTCAGTCGATAGGTTTTTAAGCTGAGCAGGCGAAATGGCGACACATATGCAATGATAGTATGCCACACAGACACAACATTGCATGCATTCAGAGTCCTTAATCTTAGTATGACAGGCGGAGCATTGATGCATATTACGTTCAAAATCGCGGCAACTACGTATACATGCAAACAATGCAGGTGCAAACGGCGCTTGAGTGCGACAGCAATTATGTCACTTGTCTCTTATCGCGCCGGGGGTGAGGTGAGGTACCCCGCGAGTCCACAGGCAGCTACCGAGTGTTATAGTATTAAAATATTATTTTTATAGTTAGCACAACACACGGGATTATAGCCGCAACCGCTATTAGAAAGCGCTTCGTAAGAAGTAAACTCGCACGCACTGACACTGGATTTTTTGCTACACTAACCGACAACACGTCCACTTACGAGTAATATATTGACTATACTGATAACTGATAACTGTAAAATTGATTTTTTTATAAAAGTCCTGCTGGATTTCTTGCTGGTTCTTGAGAGGGCACACATTTTTTCTCGAACCAGTGGTAACGTAAAATATTGACTTTTAATAAGAATTACTTGTAATCTATATTGAATAAAAATTATTCTATTCTATTCTGGAAGTATTTTTAACTTCTTCAACTAAGTCCTTTTAATTTCTGTTAAAAATCTTTACCCCACAACTAGAAATTTTCCTTAAAATTGAAGCGACAAATAAATTTACAACACACTCAATGAGCCAGGCTACCACAGTTGCGTTATCACTTCTGAGAACTAAAATGGAATGTCTCACATCAATTTTCATTCAATTTTCTATACCTTTTACACTGAAACACAGCTGTACAATCATGGTCACCTATCCAGACAAACTTCTAAATAGAAAAAAAGTACTACCACCTAGTTCAAGTATCATGTATTGTAGAGGCATTTTAATTACGTCGCTGTGTTTGACCGACATATCCCAACGGATTAATAAGTTGAAGTGGCAATGGGCCGGCCTTATAGCTCGAAGAACCGACAACCGTTGGGGAAAAAAGGTTCTCGAGCGGCAGCCTCGTACCGGTAGGCGAAGTGTAGGGCGACCCCCCACTAGATGGAGTGACGACCTGGTAAGACGTGCAGGAAGTCGATGGATGCAGGTGGCTCAGGACCGTGCTTTGTGGTATTACTTGGGGGAGGCCTATGTTCAGCAATGGACTTGTGAAGGGCTGTAATGATGATGATGATGTGTTTGACTGTACGGTACAAAAATTTTTGATCGATATTACACTCACTTTTCAATGCATTGTAGAGATTTGAAACTTTAAATATAGCTCAGAACTGAATGTTTTTATTTAATTTAATAATTAATAACCACTGAATTTTTTAAGTGCAAATTACCAATTGCTTGCAGATGACAGAAAATATCGTGAGGAAACACGCGAGTCTAAGAAATAAAACTGTCTTAAGACCGCCAACACACACTGAAAAAGCCCCGCGGAATAACCGCACCATAACCCTCTTTGAAATGAAAGGAAACCACTGCAAGGCAGTGTGACCATATATGAACTGTAACTTAAACACACACACAACAGACTGCCTCGATGGTCTAGTGGTTATAGTAGTGCGACAGCTGATCATGAGGTCCTGGGTTCGAATCCCGGGTCAAAAATTAATTATTGAGTTTTTCCATCAAGAAATTCTCAGTAGTTGCCCAGAGTCAGGAAGTTGGCGGTGTCTCACCCCTGTGCCTCGGAAAGCACGTAAAGCCGTTGGTCCTGCACCTGATCTCTCTCCGGTCGTGTCGGTTTACCCATCGGATTATGAGAGGGAGGGAATAGAGAGTGCACCTGTGCTTGCGCATACACTTGGGCACTATAATCCTGTCCTGCGCCGATGGCTAGCCTCCGTTGAGGCAGGCCACCGTGACCGAAATTCGATCGGGAGGATATTATTAACTTAAACATGAAACAAAATCTCACCTTACAAATGGTAGCTTGTTGATATTGGGCAACACATTTACTCTGGATTCGCACTCCAATACCAGCTTCTTAGAGCCAAGCTCTTTGACAACTTCTGTATGGTTAGCCTCTTCAGAGACGGTAGTTGTTACACTTGTCACACACTGAATTTCTTTCATAGCTTTACTGCTTGTGAATGAACAAGCCATTTCTGGACTTACGCATTCTTTTATTTCCTTTTGAGATACAGTTTCAGTCTTTAATGTGCTAGATAAATTTGATTCAGAGGCCATGTTCTCTGCGGTTTCTTTTAACTTTGATTCTGCGTTTATTTTACACTCCACTGTCAAGTGTTGAACAATTATATTAGCTTCCAATTTAGGTTTAGAACTGCTTATAGATTTCTGTGGGGATTTCGTTTGTTTTTTGGTAGTCGAAATATTAAGAGATTTTTCAGAATGTTTTGAAGCATTTCCGATTTCGGCTTTGCTAATTTTGGCAGTGGTAGAACGGTCGGACGCATCTTTAAGCCGACCGGGACTATTAGACAGTTTTTGCATTTTACTTAGAGGTTTAGGAGTTACTTCAGGACTTAACAATGTTACTTTTTTGACCTGATCACGTTTCGCGGGACTGTAAATTCGTTTCTTAGCTTTAGTATTGTTTTCGGCGTCACCTAAATCTACATTGGAAGGGAAATTTTGAATGTCTTGATCGTTTATTTTGAATATCATCTTAACGGGCAAATTTTGTTCATTTTTAAGATCTGAATTATTTGCGCATATATCTTCTTCTATTTCTATAATGCTTTGCTCGTCATCATCGACTAAAGTTAATGCCGAACTTGCCTCTAAGAGCTCTTTGTTTCCCTTCATGGTTATTAAAGTATTTACTTCAGTGTTTTTAATGTGTGTTTCTAGATTATTTGTAGAGTTATCTGCAGAGGCTGGCTTACTATTCATTAAAATTATACTGTTATTTTCAACTTTTTCATGACTCAAATCATCTGATTGCAAACCTGAGCCAGTTAATACTGGTTTGCGATCATCAGTTTCACTTGTAATAATATTGTAATGCGTCGAAATTCTCCGACTTTTAATTTCATCTTCCACATTATTTCCTATAGTGGTATTTTGGAGATTTTTATTTGTTTCAACGTCGTGAATTAACTGTAATGATTTTGATGGGCTATACTTATGAATATTGGTTTTGCCGTCAGGTAATAATAAAACATTATTTAAAGGATTTGTTTGATCAAAGACCAATACTTGTTCTGGCACTGTTTGTTTTTGTAAATTATGAATGAATGTTTGTTTATTATCATCAATAAAAGGCTCGCTTTTCAGCGAATCTGCTAATAAACCCGCAGCTGTAGGATTAAAATCTTTAAGATTGTTATCAAATCCTTCGTCTGCTTGAGTTTTAGCTACATCACATTCCGAATCTGGGTACGATTCTATATCGATGTCAATTTGGCTAGATGTGATAATGTTCGCTTGTATTTGTGTGCTACAAGTCGAAGAATCGTTTTTATTCACCTCATCTACACGAGACATCTCGAATGGTATCCCGTCAGCCATAGGTTTAACTAAGTCATTCATAAGTGATTTAATGCCATCAGAGACTTCTGACAAGTAAGATGGAATCACTTTTGCTTTGCTCTCAATTAAATCTGAAGTGTCATTAAATGGAGTCTTTTTTAATGGCGATAAGTTTATATCCGATTTTGACTTTATTTCATTAACAGAATCATCGAATTGTAATGTTTTCACTACTTCCGTACTCACACGCACAAACTTTCGTGCCGTGTTGGCATCGTCCATAATTTCGTCAGATTGTTCTTCTGGTGTTTCACATTGGGTGTCATCGATACATTCGCTTTCATCCATATCTATCCTTGCCTGTTGTAGTGCTGCATGTGCCATTGATATATTGTTAAGTAAATCTTCTCGACTAAGCATGATAGACATTCTGCTTTTGGCAAGGCTGGTGCGTTTCAATTCATTAGAGTCAGTTCTATCTTCTTGTGCAATATTGTTCTTAACATTAACTGATGATTGTCTATCTTCATCTCCTTTGGTGTCTTTAGCTATTGTTCTGTCAGTAAAATCTGAAAGCATTTCTAATAATTCATTTGTATCATCTGCGGTTTTGAAGGTTTTATTTCTATACGAGTTTTGCAGTTGTTTACTCTGAATTTCATTCATGCTCTCATCAATGGTATAATTTTTATTTTCCTCAAAGTTTTCTTGCTCGGCATTCGAACTTAAAATCTTTTCAGAATGACTTTTCATTTGTGTACTATTCTGCTGTTCAGGTTCATAAATCGGATTCTTTGGTTTAAGAACATTTTCTTTCAATAAAGAATCCTTTGGTTTGTTTTCTTCACATTCAATCGACTCTGATAATTCAAGGTCTATTTCTTGAGTTTTATGACAATATTTCGGGATTTGATCAATTTGAGATTTCTCTTTGACCATTAAATGTTTGTCACCAATTCCATGAGTAGATTCATTTAACGATTTCTTAGACATATTTAAAAGTTCATTCAGTATTGAATTTCTTGGTTTTTCTGTTTTTTGCAATGTGTCATTTTTTGAGACTGCGTTTACTGACATAGCTAACGACATTTCCTTATTTTCTAATTCTGTAAATTTTGGTTTAGTTATGTTTAACACATTTCCAACACTTTGATTGGGATTGTTAGAAATTCTTGATCGTCTATCAATACCTTCATCTGAAGTTTCATCCATTTTTGAATCATTCTGTTCAACTTCCATATGTTGATGCCTGGATACGTTGTGAGTGGTGACAGCTTGGTACACAAAGAGGTCTTGATGATTATGTTCCGTTGCAGATCTGTTGATTTTTGTTTCGAATTTTTGTTCAATATAGGACAAACTTTTTACAGCATTGCTAGATTCTTGAGATATTTCTTTTCGCTTGAGAAGAGGTGCAGAACTCTTTTTAATTGTATCATTACCTATATTATTACCATCTGATTCTAATTCATTCTCCTCAGATATGACTTCAGAGAGTTCTAATATATCTTGTTTTGTTTTTGAAACAACAGATTGATTATAAAGCTGATTATTGGTAACAATATCGTCGTGGTTCGTGAAATTATGAGCCTTATCTTTGTACACTGAAATGTTAGGATGAGGGTTAATACTTGCTTTGCACGAAGAAATATTATGTTGATTTTGTTGTGTATACTCTGTCACCATATTAGCAGACTCAGTAAACTCGTTTTTAAGCACTTCAGTGTTTCTGGCGTCTTCAATTTGTGATGCATTGCCTGATTTAAATTCTATTTCATTCTTCTCAGATATGACTTCAGATAGTTCTAATATATCTTGTTTTGTTTTTGAAACAACAGATTGATTATAAAGCTGATTATTGGTAACAATATCGTCTTGGTTCGTGAAATTATGAGCCTTATCTTTGTACACTGAAATGTTAGGATGAGGGTTAATACTTGCTTTGCACGAAGAAATATTATGTTGATTTTGTTGTGTATACTTTGTCAACATATTAGCAGACTCAGTAAACTCGTTTTTAAGCACTTCAGTGTTTCTGGCGTCTTCAATTTGTGATGCATTACCTGATTTAAATTCTATTCCATTCTTCTCAGATATGACTTCAGATAGTTCTAATATATCTTGTTTTGTTTTTGAAACAACAGATTGATTATAAAGCTGATTATTGGTAACAATATCGTCTTGGTTCGTGAAATTATGAGCCTTATCTTTGTACACTGAAATGTTAGGATGAGGGTTAATACTTGCTTTACTTTAGAAGAAATATTATGTTGATTTTGTTGTGTATACTCTGTCACCATATTAGCAGACTCAGTAAACTCGTTTTTAAGCACTTCAGTGTTTCTGGCGTCTTCAATTTGTGATGCATTGCCTGATTTAAATTCTATTTCATTCTTCTCAGATATGACTTCAGATAATTCTAATATATCTTGTTTTGTTTTTGAAACAACAGAATGATTATAAAGCTGATTATTGGTAACAATATCGTCTTGGTTCGTGAAATTATGAGCCTTATCTTTGTACACTGCAATGTTATGATGAGGGTTAATACTTGCTTTGCATGAAGAAATATTATGTTGATTTTGTTGTGTATACTCTGTCACCATATTAGCAGACTCTGTGAACTGGTTTTTAAGCACTTTAGTGTTTCTGCCGTTTTCAGTTTGTGTTGCATTGCTCGATTTAAATTCTATTTCATGCTGCACAATATTACTTGGAATAGCTTGAGTTACTGATATGTTATTCAAGTCGTCACCATGAATTATGCTTTTTCTTTTATGGGAAACTATGTTAGTTCTTAGAGAAACATCATTTTGATGTAATATTTGAGTTAGTGACATATGTAAATTAGTTTTATAACTTTCTGACATAAATGAATCTTTAGGCATTACCTCATGCGTAGTTTCGATTAGATTATTTTCAAAACTTTTACGTTCTTTAGGCTCTGTTCTTTCTGTGTTTGATATATTTAAGCCTAAAGAATTTAAATGCAAAATATTTCCTGACTCTGTTCCGCGAATTGCTTCATTTGTATTTGAACCCAGCATATCATTCGGTAAAATAATATTTTCTGGAACTGTCTGAGTAAGAGAAATATCATTATTGTCTTCCACAATTGTATTTTTTATCTCCGCCGATTTCTCCTGATTGCAATCTTTTTCTTGACCAGATATAACAATGTTTGACGTAAGGGCTTGTGTTATAGAAAAGTCACACACATTCCTTGTATTATTTAAAGTTTTCCTTTTTTTTATATCTATCAAAGTATTTTCTGAAACTACTTCAGTCATCGACATATTAGTTGTATGCTTCTCATTATGCTTAAATTTACTTTTGTTAAATGACTGATTATCCTCTAATTGATTCACACAATTATTTTTGATTACTTTTTCAAGATCTATCATAGTTGTTGGATCTTTATCATAATATGTTGTTTTTGTTTTATCGGCGGTATTAATATTTGATATGATAATATTTTTCGGTATAGCTTCAGTCATAGATAAATTACAACTATCTTTATCATAAATTATCGTGTTTTTTGATTTTTTCTTTTCAAAACTTTGATCTTCCGTTGCTATATCTGCGGAATCGTTGTAGTTTTGATTCTCAACCATTAGTATATTTGTTGGTAGAACACGGGTCATTGAAATATCTCCTGTATCATCTCTATATAAAATAGTATTACTTTTATTTGTTTGAGTGAATTTACTTGATGGCAGTATATTATTAGGAACAGCTTGAGTGAAAGACATATCAAAATTGTTTTGAGTAGATAATGTAGAATTTTGACGAAAATGTTTTGTATTTTCAGATAATAACATATTTGATGGCAATGCTTGAGTAAAAGAAATACTATCGCCATCGTAAACCACGGTTTTATTATTAGTCGTTTCTTTAGTACATACGTCAAAATTTGTAGGTACTAATTGTGTCATAGATAGATTTCCATTATCATTTTCGAAGACAATTGTTTGCCTTTTCTCATCGTTTTTCTTCAGTTTTTCCAGAAGAATGTCTGTCGGTATTGCTTGAGTAAACGAAATGTTAGCTATTTCATCGTTGTCATAAATAACCGTCCTTGTAATTGTGTTCTTGGCTTGATTATTATTACTATTTTTCTGTTCAATAACATCTCTACTGATAGGTAAACCATGAACTTGTCCATGCAAAGACACATCATCAATAAAATTAGGTAAGTCATCGTTAACATTGAGGATAATCGTTTTTCTTTGTGTAGGACGCTCAGAAGAATTGCTGGGCAAAAGTGTTTTACGGAAATGTTGTTCTTCATTATCTTTATTGAAGATATCATTATTTTCAGGTTGAATTGTTAATTTGCGACCATCAAATATCAATACTTGATCTGGTACCTCATTTATTGCAAAGTTCGAGGATTCTTTTGGTGCTACGTAAGGATTTATCGCAATGTTTTCTTTATCAAGTGTCCAGTCTTTATTTACGTTTGAATTGGTACCATTTTTAACAGATATATTACTCTTTGGTACTTCTTGTACTTTCGGACTATGAATAGTGTCAGTTATTGACATATTTGAATCTTCATTCTTCAATCCTATATGAGTCATAAGTAAATCCACTTCAATGTACTCTGAATTGTTTCTACCCTGAAAGGGTCCTTGACAAACTACATTTGGTTGAGACCTTTCCAGATCCCTTTGAATTTCGTCTAAATCATCACATTTGTCATTATTAGAACCAACAGGCTGTATAGCTGAAAAGTTTATATTGATGTTGTTAGACATATCCCCGAAAGTCGCAATTGTATGCTCATCTCCGAACAGTTTACTTCTGTGGTCTGTAAAGGAACTTAGTTCAAAATTTTGTTGTGGTGCAATGAGTTTCCTCTCATCTTCACTTTCAAGCGCTGCAATCTGTTGTGTGAAGTTGACGTTCATGGACATATTCATTTCTTGTACCCTTGGGTTGCTTGAAGGCATATTACCTTCAAAGTCAATAGCTACAACTTCTTGGAATTGTTGATCGAAAATTCTCTTGCCTAAGTGACCTATAATCTGTCGAGGTGGATTCAATGCAGAATCATTTCCAGAGGACTCAATTGATTTATTTTGTTCTTCATAAAAATTCTTCCATGTAGTAGTAGCTTCATTTGTTATAAATTCACTGAAATTAAAAGGTTAAAATTTTAAAACAATTATAATCTATACATTACTTTTTTTTAATAGCATTGAGTGACAAACGAGCATACAGTCCGATGGTGAGTGAATGCTGTGGCCCATAGACATCCACATTTATCTTCAACTGAGGATAAAAAGGCAAATGCGTTGTCACCCCTGAGGTCTAAGATGGAATGCCTCGATTCCAGTAAAAAGGTCACCAGTTCTCTACACTCACCATACGAAACACAGCAGCATTACGCTGCTATTTTACACCGGTATTCTGCGAGAAGGTGGGCCTGCCCCGGTCAAGCCAACCCATTCGTGCTACAATTATAATATAGCTGTAGCGTGGCTCTATTACGTAAAATATATGTTTTTTTAATAATTTTTTTTTGAATTACTGAATTTTATAAAATATTTTATGTTGCTATGTGCAGATTTTCTCTTACATGACTTTACCTTCAAGCCTTAATTTTTGTTCCTACCAGTCATTAAATATGTTTGATGATCGACTTGTACTCGACTATAGCAACATAAATAAAAGACTAGTACTAAACTAATAGATTACTAAATAAAAGTTTACAATTACGCAGGATATTATTGTACCGTAAGTATAATCAAATTATAACCCCATTTCAACTCTGCCTGCAACAGGAAGCACGGGCAACTAACTTTGTCAATGCTTTTTGTTGCTGCCGGTCCCAAGCCCGGAAAAGAGGAGGGAACGGTTCCGCCGGAGAGAGTGGGTGTATCCGGTGGACTAACCTGCGCTAGGACCTGCGCAGTTGAGCGCCGTATGCGGGGATGAAGGAGTCCTGGAGGGTTGAGCCGATCGTCACTGGGGTATATAGTGTCGAGAGGCAACACGCCCTCTTTGTTCCGGATTTCAAGCTAAACGGTGGCCTTATATGCTAACCACAGATAAGGAAATAGCCAAGCGTCCCGTCAGAGGGTCGCAGGCGAGGGATGTGGGGGCTGCCTAGTCTCCCTGAAAAGGGCTAGGTGGTGGTAAAGGCCATGCTGACGGGGCAAGTGAAAGTCAGCTCGGGCAGTGGGGATGGGCCTTTTCAGCCCTATCTGCCAGCTGGATCGAGCCGGGAGCTCGTGTCGCGCTGTGAACCAACTCTGCGTCCCTATATTCCCCCGGTAATCCTAACGCCTGAAATTCTTTTAATAAAGTAGGGCGTTCCCAAAGGTGCGGGCTACATGGAAGGTGGGAAGCCGGGAGGACGAATTATTACACATGTCAAAAACTATGGACAACACAAGGCCCATTAGTAGAGAAGGAGAAGTGTCAGAGGTGTTTACCTTAGACACTGATAAACCAGAAGGAACCGCCGTTAAACCACCACCCAGCGTAGGTGGCCCCACCAAGGGGGCAATTTCCGCTCTGGATGTCTCTAAATCCAGTTCCAAATCCAAGGAGTTGGACGAGAAAAATGAGCAAGGGGCCGCGAGTAGCAAAACTGCTGCGGAGCCCCAAAGGACCGAAGACTTTTTCTCCGCTGCCTGGCAAGTGGTGAGCCGTAAGGGGAAGCGCAAGGCACCCAAAATTGTGACTTGCCGACCCGACGCACCATCAGGTGGGTCTATCCCAGCAGGCAGTAGCGCAAAGGTCAAAAAGAAGAATAAGAAGCAGCGAGAAAAAGGCCGCAGAGAAAGAGCCGCGTTCGCGGTTTCCAAGAGCAAGACTCAGGGAGCTGGGCAAGCTACTGCTACTGCGGTGCTTGGGGCTGGAACCAGTAGTCGTGCTGAAACTGGGAAGGATGAAAATCCAGCCCGAGCAGTAGGCACGGCCGCCGGAAGCAGCTCTAAGAAATCCGCCGGGAACCAGAGAGCAGCCAAGCGTCCTGGAAAGAAGGAAACAGCAGCCAAAAGATTGCTGGAGGAGTCCACCTCGCGAGGAGAGCACAAAAAAGTGCGACTTGAACAGCAAACAAAGGCTGCAAGAACAAGCTACACTTCTTTTGCTAAAGCAGATTTGGGTGTGGCCCTAACGTGTGCTCGTTCAGGTCACATAACTAAGGAGATAGCTGATGACATCCTCGTGGCCATACAGAGGAAGTTGATCAGCGAGGCCTGGAGTAACCAGGACCCTGATGCGTCGGGCCCGGTTTTTAGAGGCAAACCCGTTTACACGGAGGGTGTCCTAAAGCTGTGGTGCGATGACCAGAAGGCTCTGGACTGGTTGAAGGGGAATATTAATACCCTCGACCTCAAATCCAACACCTCGCTGACTATTAAGAAACAGTCAGATACCACAAAGAATCAAATGTGGTATCCTCATCCCTGATGCCCAAGGTGCCTGGAAGGACTCACGCGACATTGGTCGTGTGTTTGCGTACCAGAACCGCTGGGTAAACATCAAGGACTGGCTAATACTCAAAGCGGACAAACAGACGGACGGGTGGTTCCTCGTTGTTTCGGTGCCGGAGGATCATATCCCGACCCTGATGAAAGCCGGGCGCCGTCTCGCATGTGTATGTGGGGCGGTATACGTTAAATTCCAGGGTCGTGGAGGAAAATTCGTTGATTCCCCACCTAGCAAAGAGGCAGAAAAGAACCCGGAAGTCATGGATACCGTGGCCATGGTTGCCGGTACATCGAAATCACTGGATGTCAAGTCCAGTGAAAAAACTGCCTGCACAACCGAGCCGAAGCCCCCAGTGGAAACTGAGCTCAGCGGCAGCTCACTGAGCATCGAAGAGAACTGCATTTTGCCGTCCAATTCCGACTCGGTGGCTGACGATGAAACCCGAGATCTGCTGGCAGGCTTATTTTTAGGCGGGGACGGGGATGACGCGATCGATGATGGCGTGCCCTTCGTCCAAAACTAGCCTAGTGCAGGCCAACCTCCACCACAGTGAGACAGCGTCGGCTCAATTACGCAAGTGGTTAGAGGCACAAAGGACGGCCATAGCCCTAATCCAAGAGCATGGGTTGGGGCCGGTAAAATTAAAGACCTAAACAACCTAAGAGGTAAGTTATTCTACAACTCTGAGCACGACAAGCCTAGAGCGTGTATTTATACTACTAAAGATATCTGTGCAAAACCACTAACAGATTTCTGTTCCAGAGACATGTATGCCGTAGCATTACAAAACACACAGGAGGAAAGGTTAGTCGTCGCCTCGGTCTACATGCCTGAGGAAGACAGCCCTCTCCCTCACGACCTCGTGAATTTCTGTGAGAGGGCCGGACTAGAGGTTGTGATCGGGACGGACTCCAACGCGCATCATCCCCTTTGGGGAATGGAAAAACCTAATGAACGAGGTAAGGTTTTAGTTGAATATTTATTTAGCACTAACCTAACCATATTAAACACTGGTTCTGAACCAACCTTCATAAATAAACGCTGTCGCACAATAATCGACCTCACACTTACAACAGAAGGAGCAGCTAAGTTAATAACGGGATGGCATGTGTCGAAAGAGGCCTCATGCTCAGACCACAGATGGATCTGCTGCGAACTACAGGTTGATATCCCCGCTATACCACCAAGGAGAAATCCCCGCAAGACGGATAAAACAAAATACCTCAATAGGCTGACGTCTTCGCTCGCGGGTGTTGGGGGAACTAATACCATAACAGATCAATCGCTCCTAGAAGAACAGTAGCAGCTGTCACTAAAGCCATGATCGATAGCTACCATGAATCATGTCCAGTAATCACTCCACCAAAACATGCTGAGCAAAAGCAACAGTGGTGGGGTAAAGAACTAGACAGGAAACGTAAGAAGGTAAGAAAAGCCCTAAATAGGGCAATGAATACCTCAAAGGATGAAGACTGGCTTCTATATAAGAAAGCTAAGTCTGAATACAAAAAATGTATCAGGTATCGACGCTCAACAGGGTGGCGCAAATTCTGTGGTAGCATAGAAACCTGTGAACAAGCAAATTGGATAATCCTAGCTAAACAGAACACGCCGGGATCTATCTCTTTAAAGAAACCCGACGGAAGCTACTCAACATCGCCGGATGAAACCCAACACATCCTAATTGATACTCACTTCCCAGGTTGCTGTGTAGTTGAAAGGGTGAACTGGCATGAAGATGCACTGACACCAACAAAAGAAGACTGGGAATTAGCACAAAGAGTGGTGACGTGGACAAAATCCATTGGGCCATTCATAGTTTCCAACCCTATAAGGCAGCAGGACCTGACGGCTTATTCCCGGCACTTCTTCAGTGGGGGGGGTAAAGTCCTAATAGTCAGACTTGTTGCCATAATGAGAGCATGTCTGGCTCTTAAATATGTTCCTAGGGGATGGAGGGAAGTGAAAGTCACGTTCATACCCAAACCAGGTAAGAACGACTATACAGACCCTAAATCCTACAGACCTATTAGCCTCACATCCTTTCTCCTAAAGACGATGGAGAGGATGTGTGAACGGGAGTTGAGGGTCGGCGCTAATTAACTTACCGCTACACGAAAAACAACACGCCTATAGCTTAGGTAAATCAACAGAATCGGCACTTCACCAGGTAATAACAAAGATTGAAGAGGCCATCCAAAACAAATCAATATGTCTAGGCTCCTTCATAGACATAGAAGGTGCTTTTGACAGAACAAATTTCTGCAGCATAAACGGTGCCCTAAGTAGACATAATGTTGAACCGGCACTGATTAACTGGATAGTAAACATGCTCAGTACACGAACAATAAAGATTGCTGGTGAATCTCAGACAATTCAGATCATGAAAGGATGCCCGCAGGGTGGGGTTCTTTCACCTCTCCTGTGGAATATGGTCATTAATGCACTCATCAGCAAATTAAACGCTAATCATTTCTACACAGTCGGTTATGCAGATGATCTGACAATACTGGTCTCTGGTAAGACAGCAAGCATTGTGTGCGACCTGACCTAAGCGGCTCTCCGTATTGTGGAGAGATGGTGCAGGGAATATGACCTAACCGTTAATCTAAATAAAACGGTTATAGTAATATTCACACAAAAACGAATGCTGAATAACAATCATCTTCCAAGTCTTTTCAGCACAAAACTCCAACTTTCTTCCGAGGTAAAATACCTAGGTCTTACCTTGGACATTAACTTAACTGGAACAAACACATAGAAAACAAAATCACCAAAGCTAGTTTAACTTTCTGGCAGTGCAGAAACATGATCGGCAAACGATGTGGTTTAACGCCAAAAATTATACTGTGGCTGTACACAACTGTAATTCGGCCCATAATCACATACGGCTCTCTGGTATGGTGGACCAAAACCAATGAAGCCACCACTATACAAAAGCTTCAGCATTACCAGAGATTAGCTTGTATGGCTGCCACAGGCTGCATAAGGACAACACCAACAGCAGGTTTGGAGGCTATGCTGGAGCTAACACCGCTTGATCTACATATACAACAAGAAGCAACTTTAGCTGCCATTATGCCATTAGACTCAAGACCCTAAATCTTTTAAGTAAGAGTAGAGTCCCCCATACAGATATAATCGATAGAATTTACTCAAAAATTCCTATCTTACAAGCCAAGTATGATAGGATCCCAAAACAATTTGTATTCGATAAGAAGTACAGGATACAATTGAAGGAAACTGACCATCTGGAAGGATTGGGTCCAAGAGAGCTCAAAGTTTTCACGGATGGCTCTAAGACAAATGAAGGTGTGGGGTCTGGGGCTTTCTCTGAAGACCTTAATATACATATATGCACACCACTGGGTACCCACAACACAGTCTTCCAGGCTGAATGCATGGGTATCATCCAAGCGGCCATAGCAATAGATGCTAGGAAGGTAAAAGACTTCTCCATCAGAATACTGACCAACAGTATGGCGGTACTACAAGCTCTGAGTTGCAATGTGACGAACTCGGGACTGATACACGAGTGCCATCAACGATTGAAAATGTAAGTACAACAATGTGACTCTGCAATGGATCAAGGGACACATTGGATCTAGAGGCAATGATGCAGCAGATGAACTGGCCAGAAGGGGATCGGCCCTAGCAACTATAGGGCCGGAACCAATAATACCAATCCCCTTTGGCTACGTTCGTTCACTGGTACGTAGATACTTCAATAATTTACACGCTCAGCTTTGGAAATATTTTGTAGAATGTAGACAAGCTAGGGAGGCCCTACCTGAAATAAACAGTCGTCTAACCAAGGTTCTAATGAGACTGGGCTTGTTCGGTCAGATCAGGATAGTAACCAGTAGCTATTACAGGACATGGCTAACAAACATTTGTTCACCATAGGTGTTACTGACAGCCCCCTGTGCAGGGCATGCATGGGAGAGGAAGAAACGGCGGCTCACGTGTTGCTGACATGTCCAGAAGTCGCTTCATACAGGGCTAAACATCTCGGCACGCCGGGATCGCTCCCCCGAAGTTGCTTGCAACATCAAGGGACTGCTGAGCTTCTTCGGGGAGATATCATGGCTTGAATAAGCATATTATTCCTGCCCACACGCAAAATACGCGCTTAGACGTGGAGTTGCGTCAACCCGTCGTAAACTAAACTAAACTAAACCCCATTTCATCTAGTTGATGTCATAAACGGCGACTGTGGGAAACGTCACAAAAAACTAATGGCTTCAGAAAGATGTTGGTGTAACTTTGTCAAATATTATACTTATATTAATACCTAAAACCAAGAAAAATATCCAGACCGGCAAAGGGCGACAGCGTCAAAGATACGTTCTTAAGTTTCCCCCTCCCTATAGACAGGTCCATATTCAGCATAACACCAAGAGTACTTCACAGTAAGATACCAGATGCAATGACGGCGACATAAGACATGTATTGTATGGATGCATATATTGAAGATTTAGTTTAAAAAAAGTAACTTGTATCATAAAGTACAGGAAAATGCCTATTGAATATTTCAACAAGCTGGATCCTAAGCTGTAAGTATCACTTTTTATGCCTCTCTGCAGTCTCTTAACCAGTAACCAACGCTTGGGCTTGTGTTCCAGTAAATGTTAAAGGGAGCCGGTATAACTCCAGGCGAAAAGACATTCCATCCTCAGGTATAACTAAGCTTTTTAACTAGGGCTGCAGTGGTCACTTAGTATCAGGGGATTGCTAGCTTGTTTGCCATAAAAGCCTCGTTTTCAAAAAGTATGTGACATATGGTTGTCTAAATAGTGAATTTGATTAAACAAGTTTTTGACCATGTATTTACTACACATATCATCCCATTGTTGATATGAGAGGTGACAGAAAGACACTGAGAAAAGACTGTTGTCAACCTACTTGCCAAATGTGGCAACTATGGCAAACATCTCTCTATTATGCCATCTATGGAGGAGGCTTTTGTTCAGCAGTGGACTTATTATGCAGTCCATTATCGTAAATGAGAAATATTTTTTGATACTTTATATAATATGTCAATAACAAACTTACGCAACACCAGTGCGCCGTGAGAAGCTGACTCGACGGCTTTTCCCCGTATCAGTGGGCGTAGCAACATTAAACTCGAGTTCTGAGAAAGGCGTGCGCGGTGGACGCTGGCTTTTTAGAATTGACGATCTTCGCTTTCTCCTACAAAGTATAAATGTACAATAAGAAAATATTTAAAATACACAAGTTCGTTAATTACAGAGAGACAATTTAGTATTGTGACAGTGTAAGACAATCTAAAACCCAACACTTTTATTTTTTTATACAATAAGGGTTACAAATGAGCACACAGTCCACCTGATGCTAAATGCTGTGGCTCATAGACATCTACATTTATCCTAGATTAAGAATCAAAACGCAGATGCGTTGTCACCCCTGAGGACTAAGATGGGATGCCTTGTTTCCAGTAAAAAAGGGTCTTTGGATCTCTACACTCACCATATGAAACATAGCAGTATTAAGTTGCTATTTTACGCTGGTATTCTGCGAGAGCATGGTCCCTCCCCGGTCGAGCTGACCCACTCCTGCTACAACCATAATATAGCTGCAGCTTGGTTCCACCACATATAAAATAATAATCAACTTGACCCATGGGCTATCTACTACTGAAGGTCAACATCTTATTATATGACTCATATTTACAATATTATGTTGATTTAATGCCAAAAAAGTTTAAAAAAATCTGCACTAGATAGGTTTTGCTGGTTGTTAAGTTATGAATAAATTTTATATTTGCCCAATAAAAAGTGTAGAGTGAATTCAGAGTGAAATACATCATGCCACCTAATGGATCGGGTAGAAGAGTGAGGCAGAAAGTGATGCACAAGCTGACTTGGCAGATGCCAGGCCAGCTTGGGCATTAAAAAATACTCAGACTGATGATAGCATAGCATTACAATACATATCCGCTTGCTTGACAGTTGCACAACATGGGATGTTGTCATGCAGGGTCCCACATAAAAAACCTTTGTATATTATTTACAAACTAACGAAACAATTTATAATGTATTTTTTATAATCGTTCCTACTTTTGGCAAGTGCAATATTTGACAAATGAAGTATTCCTATTTTAATCAAAAGTAATTAATAACAGCTTTTTGAGGTTTTTACTGGCTTCATTGATTAAGATAAGGCAGGGAATGACTAGCATTCCCAAAATGCCCGAAGTCATACCTTTTCTACTTAACTGCTGCCTAATAAGTGTGTCAAGCTTATGGGGTATGAATAAATATAAAATTTCACTATAGAAGGTTATATTTCAAAGAATAGCCCAATCTTAAACTAAAGTTCTAAAATATAAATAACGATATACTGTTACACTTCGCACTTTTTGAAAATACGAGTGTAAATAAGACTTGTACTTTTATTTAAAATTATCCCAAATTGAATGGGATTTATGCGCAACATTTTTGCAAACCGATCGACCCTTATGAATGGTTGCGTACACCGTAAAATCAGTTAAAATAATGCATTACTGCGCATTTTGAACTTGAAAGATAAAAAGTACAGAATGTGTGATATTATTTTTAATAAATTTTTCTTCACAATTAGCCTCTATTACTTATTCTAAACATTCTCCGCAAATTTGGCCGGTTATTGCAAAATAACCCTGTACAATAGACTAATTTTATAGGAAATTCTCATCATTTTTTACATCACTTTTGAACACTGTCAGATAATTCTTGGCAGACAGAAGTTAACAACTGCAATATTCATACTAATAATGTCCGAATTTCGTTCACGGTGGCTAAACGAAGACTAGCCATAAGCCCAGGACGGGATTACAGTGCCCAATGTGCACTTTCTATTCCCTCACCCTCATAGTCCGATGGGACTGTAATCCAACATGCCAAAGAGAAATCAGGCACAGGACTTTACATGCATTCTGAGGCATGGTGTGTAACACTGCCAACTATCTGACTCTGGCCTGCTACTGGGAATTTCTTGACAGAAAAAGTATTAGTAACTGATTTTTAGCCCAACCAGGATTGAACCCACTAAATCAATGAGGCAGCCATACTATAGTGCCAACAGGAAAGCAAATTTATGTAGCTGAAGTGAACAACAGAGTCGATAAGGGACGCCCTAGGCAAAAGTTTGTCGACCTATTGAAAATAGGCCAAATTAAGAGTACCCTTATCCGACGAGCATGTATGTGTAGGTATATGGATGTGGGAGAGGCGAGAGAGGTGTGTCAGGATCGTGCCAAATGGAAGGCTGTAGTCTCTGTCTACCCCTATGGTTGACCGGCGTGAGTGCTCATGTATGTATGTCCCTAGTGGAATGTTTGATTGTTTTTTTTTAAAGGAAAGGGACAAACGAGTATATGGCTCACCTTATATTCAGACCCATTGTTTAGTGTCCATGTAAAAACAGCCACTTATTAGTATTCTGTGTATATCATAAGCAACAGAGGGAAACTGTATCAGGAGATGGGCAGGAACATCTTTCTGATAGCAACTCGAAATAACAATAATCTGCATTTGCCAAACTGCCAGTCATACTTGGCAACTATCACAAAATCCCACATATGAGGCAATCTATGGGTAGGGTTGCAAACAGTGGGACTTATAGTTTGAACTTATAGGCTGTAATGGAATGGATGAAGTGGAATTTTCAGACTACTAAGCGTGGTTTCTATATTGTACGTGTTTTACGTGGTAAAGCCACGCTGCAGCTATATTATAGTTGTAGCACGAATGAGTCACCTTGACCTGGACAGGACTATGCTCTCACAGAATACCACCTTACAGCTGTTATGTTTTGTATGGTGAGTTTAGAGAACCGGAGACCCTTTTTACTGGATATCGAGACATTCCATCTCAGTTCTCAGGGGTGACCACGCATTTGCATTTTGATCCTTAGTTGAGGGTAAATGTGGATGTCTATGGGCCACGGCATCCACTTACCATCAGGTGGACTGTGTGCTCGTTTGTCACCCAATGTTATAAAAACAAAGACACCATAAACATTTTCATTCATCTGATATATTTATATATTGGCTTAATTTTACAGTGGACTTGTAAAACAGAAACAGTTTTATTCAATGTAGACCATTAAAAATACTTATTGAAAGTCACTCATTTGTGTAATTTGCCACTGGGTTCAGAAAAAACCTCTGTCCTGGGCAGAACCAGCAAGTAACCCAGGAGGAATATTTTGAAAAAAAAAAACATCTTACAATGAAAATTAAATGTTTGTTACACAATTAACAACACAAACAAATTATAAATAGCTTGGTAGTGATCACCTCATTTCCAGGTGTTATTATTATCCATAAATTCCTTAATATTATAATAACTCTTTTTATACAAACTAAGTTTTTAAATTTTGAGGTCTAATTTAGTACATTTTCTGGGATTTTGTTGTGTAAAAGTATATACATCACCCCAAGAATGAATTACTGACTAGATTTTTTTGGTTGTCTGTACCCTTATTTCTTAACCGACTTCAAAAAGTAGGAGGTACTCAATTCGACTGTCTTTTTTTATGTGTGTTATCTCAGAACTTTTTTGAGGTGAACCAATTTCGATGATTCTTTTTTTACTTGAAAGCTGATGCTTCAAATATGGTCCCCTATAAATTAGATAAAGATCAGACCAGTAGTTTTTGAGTTATCCTTAATAATACATATTTGACTTCGACTACATTGATGACATTCTCATTTTATTTATATTGAAGTTGGTTGAACAAAATTTTTAATTTTACCACTTGTTTTAACTATTTTTATTTTAGTGTACATATAGGTATTACGATTTCGTAAATTATTTGATTTTTAATTATTGAGAGACCCAGGGTATGTTCCGAAATACAACGCAGTGTACTGTCCAATGCAAATGACGTATCATTTGACACTTTATTGTACTAGCGTGCCGCCGCCATATTGTGTCGGATATCCGGCCATAATAAAACAATTTTAAATTGTGTGTTTGCCGAATGAAGCATGCCAGAATTTGTTTCTATTAAGAGGATATAATGATTTTTGGAGCACAAAATGACAAAATAATCGCCAACACTTTTCCAAATGGCGCAAAAGTATGACGTCATATACTGTCCAATGTTTTGGAACGAATCACCAGTATAGCGTCGATTCATGACGTCATTTGAATTGGACAGTACACTGCATTGTATTTCGGAACATACCCCCAAATTATATATACATTAATTTTGTTAAACTTTTGTTTGAGCGACTCTTTAGGTTTTAAATCATAGATTGCTTTTATGCTCCTCTTAACAAGCAGCAACTCTAAGCAAAATACCATAACAACATTATTCTATAGAAATAACTAAAGTTAACTAGTCTGGTTGTTACAACACTGTCTAATCTATTTAACAGCATATGCTGCAGAACTAAGTCTGCTTGTTAGTTTGATATATGATAGTGAACGGCCGTAATGATAATGATGATAATAATAATGAATATCCTAGAAACTGAATATCAGTCATGGTGCTCAGGCTCAAGAGACTAGCCATCTGAGCAGGACAGGATTATAGAGCACCAGTATGTGGCGCAAACACAGGTGCACTCTCTATTCTCTGACTTTCATAGTCTGATGGACCAATTATCTGACACAACTGGAGAGAGATCAGGCGCAGGACCACCAACTTTACATGCTTTTTCTGATATATGTGGGTGAAACACTGCCAACATCCTAACTCTGGGCTGCTACTGAGAATTTTTGACAGTAAAACACAACAAATGATTTTGTCCCGACCCAGGAATCGAACACAGGATCTCATGATCAGCAGCCATGGTTAGGACCACTAGACCAATGGGTCTGTGTATGATTTCAATTGGTCAAGTTGCTATGAATCTTCTAAGTAACTATGCTAGGTACACATAAACAATTATTTTTATCAAGCAACCATTTAGTTGTTTGTTAAATGTCTATGGAAATGTATTGATGTCCACATATCATTAATTAAAGAATAGATTGATTAAAAAAAAATGAAAAAACTACACATACAGTCACTAACAGAGGCAGCAACCAATATAAGCTCAGACACATTGATATATAAAATACATACACTGAATTAAACATTTGGATTAACCTAACAGAATTATGACAAAAGTTACAAACTGCACTAAAAGTCGCATTAAGTACAGATAGAACCTATACTATTAAACGAGCACCCTTCAATGCGTTAATTATAGTTGAAAAAAAAAAAAAAAAATATATATATAATCGGGATCTCGGAAACGGCTCCAACGATTTTCATAAAATTTAGTGTCCAGGGAGTTTTGGGGATAAAAAATCGATCTAGCTAGGTTTTATTTTTAGAAAATGTCTTTTTGTCCGTGTTTTTAGGCAATGAAAAATTGCTACAATATCGTTAAAATAAGAAGGTAAATTTTGACAGATTGTTGATGATTATAAATAGCTTAATTGGTATAATGGGCGGTCACAGAATCGTAAAACCCCGGTTCGAGCCCAGAATAACCGACCGACTTTTTTTATTTTTTTTTCAAGTTTCTTTCTTTTTTTGAGAAAATCTATTTTTTCGAGCCCTTTTTTAGTATTTTTTAAAAACACGAAAATTTACATTAAAATAATTGCACTCATGATTTTTTATTCAAATAACCAGTTCCGTTTTTTCTGTTATGTCGCTAAGGTCAAAAAATATTATTTATATTTTATCAGTATGTAATTTGTATCTAAATATAATTTCCAAAACACACGAATTAAATAAAATCGAGCGAAAAATACCGAGCAAAGCTCGGTCAACCGGGTACTTATGATTATATCTCAATCTTCCAGAGCCATAATATATATGTTGAATATTATAAATGCCAGAAAGAATTTAATATCTGATAATTATTCTCTCAGAATAGTGATGGACAAAGTAATAAGGTGTTGTTGAAAAATTTTACATATATGAGTAAAAAAAAATAATTGCCAATATTAATATCTCATAAACTTCGCAATAAAATATTTATACTGGACTAAATAAATAAAATATATACTTCATAAAAGTCTCTCAAATAGACCTGTGAATCAAATTGTTGTATGTTTTGTGCAATTAATAGCAAGTTAAAATAGTTCTTAAAATTTGGAAGATAAGTTGTGTTCGCATAGCAGTACAGGCGGCAATAATGTTTTTGTAAATATTAAAAAGAAAATTTAAATTTAAGATAATTTTTTAGACTTCTTAGAACCATAAAGTTTAAAATTAATAATAAAATACTTAAAAATTATTATACAGTTCTATTTCCCAAGGTAAAGTGCCTTTTAACGAGAAAAGGACTAGCTCTCTTAACACCCGCGGCGACAAGTCGCGGATACGAATTTAGAAAATGAAATTTTCATAACTATGTTGTATTAAATTTTTATATTACATATTTATAAAATTGACGACGTACACTTTCTAGTTTATTTAGCTTATTATTTGCATATTAGCAAAAACTTACGTTGCTGCAGCGTCAGATAATCGGCTACCTTGTGTGTCGTCCATCTTTTTAATATATACCGGGAAGATTTTATTTCATAGCTATTTGTATTCCATAATATACACTATAAATCAAGTTTTCTTACTGCACTTATAGTAACAGCGAGTTAGCGAGTTACGAATTGTTATTGATCTATATCAATGTAGAAATCAAACAAGACGCTATAAGTACCTAACGACTATTTTCAAATCAAATTTGAAAAAAAAAAAAGACACAACACAAAAACCCACACTTTTAATTTATTTTTTTTTATTTAATTTTTTTTTTTATATATAATTTTAATAAAAAAAATAAAATAAAAAAAAAAAAAATACTTAAAAAAAAACAATTTTAATAAAAATATTTTTATTTTTTTTTTTATATAATAAATCCCCCAAAAACATTGAGTTGACAGTTTAGCAGCTAGATTAGCTAGATATCATAGAGTAGAGTAATATATCCACAAACTAGATATATATCGTAGACCATGAAGGTTAGAGAACAGGAGAACGATCGCCGTAGAAAATAGTGTTCCAGAAATATGGACACCATAAGTGAGGCGCTGCGAGGTCCAGTCAATAAAAGATATTTTGAGTCTATTTTTCCGATCAGATGCTAAACCACTTGCACATCCACGCACAATAAAATATTTCTCCGTTTTTTAATGTTTCTTTTTGTCAAAACTTACAAAATTACGGAGCATGAAAATTTTCTCATTAAAAATGAAATAAAAATTTGTACATTATTCAACTTACTTCATCTACTTGTACTCATAAACAGCTAACTTCGCAGTCACTACTCACCGACGTCAGCGCCGCCATATATTCTACAATTTTCAAGGACAGGTGGGCTATGCTTTAGTACTTACGTAGTGATCGTTCTCCTGTTCTCTAACCTTCATGTCGTAGACAGAGAATAAAATTCTCTATCTATGATATACAGGTTGTTTGGAAGGTCGATGCAAAGCCGTAAAGCGCAGCTAGTATAGGCTATTCAGAAACATTTGAACCCAACTTGTCTCAGACGAAGTGAGACTATTTTATTTTTATCAAGCTTTAATGATTTTTGATGACAAAACCCAAAATTTTGGAGTTAGTTGTAAATTGTGGCCAGTTTGAAAGACAAATCATTTATTTTATTTTATTAAAGTAATGTGTAAACAGTCAATGTAACATGATTCAGGCACTGTGTCATGAAATAAGTTTTTTATAGATATTTGAAGTTAATGATTTATTTAAAGATTGAAGAAAGCTGTTTTCGTTCAAACATTTTTAAAAACAAGCCTGGTCATTGTTCTTTCTTTTGAGGCATCAACTACGCGAATAGCTCACAAATTAAGGAAATTAGGGCCTACAAACCAAATAGAGGGTGAAAATTATAATTTATTGACGAAATAATTAAAACAAAATTTTGTTTAAAATCATTTATTATTCGTGTTCAAAATTTTCGGTGCGGCTCCTAACACAATCACAAGCCCGTCTTCTCACTTCTGTTGTTATTATTTTTAACTTCATCTCCAGTTTCATCGTTTCAAACGCTGAATTAATTCTCTCAATCAATTCTTCTTTTGTGTTTATTTCCACATTCGTATAGACTAGTTCTTTGGCACGACCCCACACAAAAAAGTCAAGTGAAGTCAGGTCGGGAGACCGGGCGGGCCAAAGGATAGGCCCATCTCTGTCTATCCAGCTGTTAGGGAAGCAATTATTTAAGTGCTCTCGTATATAATGTCCAATGCGCTGGACAACTATGTTTTTGAAAAATGATTTCTCAGTCTGTAGCGAATATCGGGGCCCCGGAGTCTTCTACAAGCTCTGGAAGATTATTTTGGAAGAATTTCAAATAATTGTTGCCATCCAAATTATCCGGTAAGATATGGGGCCCAATCAAGTGTTCTGCCAATTACTCCAGCCCACACGTTGACTGAGAATTTCCTTTGAAAAGACTTCCGCTTTTCCAATGTGGATTATTAGATTTCTTAGCCCATTAATGAAGGTTATGGAAGTTAGTAATGCCTTCCCTGGAAAATTTTCTTTCATCTTTCCACAAGATTGATTTCAGGAACCATGCATCTTCAATATCTGTGTTGAGAAGAAAACGACAAAACTGAATCCTTCTCTGAGGATCTCGCTCTTCAAGACTGAACACCAGTGCCATGAAACGGGTACTTGTTATTTTGGTGCATTGTATTCCACACCTTCCAATGAGAAATATTAAAATTACGAGCTATTTTTCTAGTGCTGGCATGTGGATCAGCTTGAAATGCCGCCAAGATATCTTCCTCGATGTGAGTATCATGTCTACTCGGATTGACTCCATGTTTCACATGGTGTATCCCATCTTCAGCAAGCCGACGAAATGTGTTATAAAATACTCTCACATTTGGTACTCTGCGATTAGTATAGCGTTCTTGGTACATCCGTCGTGCTAAAGATCCATTGCCATCTGCTCTGCCAAACATAAAAACAATGTCATCATATTCCTCGTTCAAGAAATAAGTCACAGTCTACTCTGTGAATAAACTGTCGAAAAACTGTTCGTTCATTCAACGCCCACCCCTAGTGAGTACCCCCGGCAGTTTGCCACTATACGTGAGTCGATGCGCACGCCCATATTTTATCGCACACAGCTCTTTGTAAATTAGCCTATTACTGTTTTAAATTGAGTGCACCCATTATCTCGCGAGTTTATTTCAGCCTCTAGCACAATCCTGCAGCATCTGACATCTACAGCACCAATATATCAGCACAAGCACATGTTGTTATCAACAATGTTTTAATATTTTTCACTGAAATGAAAACAGTCACTTATCAAATACAAAACGGCGTAGAAGCGAATCAAAACAAAAATTTTACAGTCAAAACGAACACGTGCAAGAGCGCAGAACTAGGTAGCTAAGGCTACAACTGGGCATGGTGAAACAATTCAAACCAAATTAACACGTGCAGGAGCGCAAAGGGCTACTACAACTGAACACGGTAATTTGTCACGAATAAGGAACTAACGTCCTCTAGTTGTAACTCAACTAAGTATATACCCCCATGTCCCCCCCCCGTGACCATGGGTGCTGTAAAGCACCCGAAACGTCGGGATAATAATAAAAATAAATTAAAGTAATTAAACGCGATAAAATCCGTAAATAATAGTTTTATTCAACTAAAAATGTATTTAGTGTTTTCCTTATAAACTATTATTCCATCTAATACACTAAGAATATAGAAATAGGATATTAAGATCAAGAAGTTTGTAAAAAAATATATTTTATGATAGTTTTGTTTATTTAATATTGTAGCGCGCTATAATTAGCGCCTGGTATGTGGCGGCTGATTATTAGTGCCATCTGGTATCAAGCAGCAGAAATAGGAGCGTCAAGATCTTTCTAGAACTCTCCCACTAGCGCCATTTTGTGACGCTAAGCTGGAGAGCTAAGCTTTCTAGAAGATGGAGATGAAGATGGAGGAGCTAAGCTTTCTAGAAGGCTCCACACTCGAACTTTCTGCACCTGGTCGGTCGGGGGGCTGGTATTTGCTGGAATATTCCGGATGTTTCAGTGGAATAGGCGTATTTAAAGACGTTCAGGGCCGCAATCGGGTCAGTATTAAATTGGCGATACGAGCGAAGCCTTCGGAGTTACTAAAATGTTGAGTCTGAATAATTATTAGTGTGATTTAAGTTTTAATTGGTGTTCAGTAATTAAAGTGTCAATTTTGGTAATTCAATCGGCAGGTTTTATTGTCACGAACCCTAAGGTGGTACAGCACCTATTGAACCTAAATAATGGGAAGACTAAGCCGAAAGTAAAATCTGGCCCTCAGGAGAAAAATAAGGGAGCTTCGAGCAAACCTAATCCACCCGCAAAAGTAAACACACCCATCTCTTCTTTAGCGCCAGATTCAACTTTAGTCTCTGATTCCAACACTTCGATTTCGAGTGTAAGCCGTGAGACAACTGTTGCTCCCCGGGATGGCGTGGAGCAAAAAGACCCGGAAGAATGGATACAGGTGAGACGTAAAACTGGACGCGCATCGCTGCCCGGCGTACTTCGCGGTACTGCAGCGCTGGGTGTGACGAAACTGCGTGCATCTGAGAGATGGAAGTACTTGCATCTCTATTATGTTCAAGAGGGTACCACAATAGAGAGGTGCGTGCTAATCTCTACTCTATTAGTGGAAATAATGATTGCACAGTGGAAGAACTGAAAGCAAGGGGACGTTACTCATCGTTCAAGCTTGGAGTCCCGTCGAGGATTAGCGAGAGTGTTATGTCACCAAATAATTGGGCTGAAGACATACGTATAAAACCGTAGCGGCAGAACTTTCGTGCCAAGAAAGAAAGTTCGTAACCTATATTTCTGTTATCAAAACGTTATCTACGTACAAAATCGGATACTTTTAGGAATAATATGACTCAATGCAACTTTGATGTTATAGCCTTGACTGAAACCTTTTTGAACAGTTCCGTATTTGATGGTGAATTATTTACTTCGGAGTATTTAGTCGTACGTAAAGACCGCACAGGGGATGCTGGGTGGAGGGAATGCTCCTTGCTATATGAAACTGCTACACGGTGCAACAAGTAACTAATGTAGATGCCTATACGTCTGATATGGAACTGCTTTTCGCCATTATTGGTGGAAAACGTGTTGGAAAGTTTTTATGTTGTGTCGTTTATTTGCCTCCTAAATGTAGTGATAATCTATATCTCAACGAATTGCCGTGCATTGAAAATGCTATCATTGCATATTACTCTCTTAATGTCCCAATAATAGGAGATTTTAATTTGAATTCTTGTAGTGTTAATGTTAAGGATAATTTAAATTCATTTTGTGACTATTGTGGGCTTCAGCAACATAATGTTGTGTATAACAAATGTGATGGCATGTTAGATCTCGTGTTGAGCAATTTTAACCCGGAGCTGGTCTTAGTGTCCGAGGGTTCAGAACCCTTAGTACCAATTGATAAGTATCACCCCCCGCTGGAGGTGACGCTTAGGTTACAGTGCGACGCGCAGGTCCAGTCACCATCCT